CAGTATATGACCTGTGAGACGTCGTAACTGTCTGTCTTTCTCACACACAGGAGAAAAATGTCATTCATAGTGATGCAGTAAGTGGGTGACAGAGGTCTGTTTCAATGGGATTTAACATAATCATCTGCACATAAACTAAACCAACTCATAACCCATCTTCCAGGTTTGGGATCCTCCCCGCTAGAAGAGGTGTCTAATCACAAACCTCCTACACACTTTGCCATGATAGCTTGTGTGTGTGGTGAAGTGTGAAGAAAATCAAAAAAGCAAACAGCCTAATTTTGTAGCTGTGCTGGGAATATGTGGGTCAGTGACAACAAACAGTTCCATGTTGTCATTAGCATCATTAGTTGTGTTGATGTGAATGGAAGTGTGTGTCCATGTAGTAGTGTGTGTATAAGTATGTAGTCTGACAAAAATGGCCTTATTTTATTCTTCACATTTCAAGATTAGGCAAGACGAGGCTGGACATCTATTTAACGTTAAGTCTTCCTCTAACAAGATGGACGATCTCCAGTCTGCACAAATCTTCTACTTTGAATTTTCCTACCTTACACAGACCCCTCCTTCCCTCCCTCCCTTCCTCCCTCCCTACCGATCTTGCTTCTGCATTCAGTCTGGATTTTTCTTCTGTTTCTCCTTCCTCTCCTCTCCTTCTTTTTCCGAGCTCCTCCCTGAGTGACAGCTCAATACCCAGCTCTCCCAGGCTTATCTAGCCTCAGCAGATGGTTGACTTGGATCACTGTTCATACACCATGATCTGTGCTGGTGATAAAGACTGTTACAGAGGGAATATATGATATCTCTTTTTTGCTTGCTCTTTCTTCCTTTTTCTCCTTCTTCTCTCGCCTCCTCTTGATCTGTCATTTCCTCCCTCTCTGTCCTCCCTTATTTCAATTCTTTTATCCAGCATCTCTTCTCATTTTTACTTGGACCTTTCTGCTCGTCTACTTGTCACGTCCTCCACCTTTCTCAACAGTGCTCTTTGTCCCACTACCCGCTGCCCCCCAAACCTCCCCTCTCTTTCTCCTCATCTCTTTCCATCCCTCCATCTCTGTGCATTGAATCTGGTGCTGCATGATTGTCTCTGCTTCCCTGCTGGGGTGGCGCCTGTCTAAAGGGCCCCAGGACCCTCACACACTGAAGGGGGCTCCAGCCATGCCAAAGATGCCCTCTCTTCCTCTCCTTTCTGGCTCATATCACTTTATCGAGTATCTCTTCATCTCCACATGGTAGGGTGGGTAGGAAAAGTCAGGCTGGGTCTTTTCTGCTCACTTCCATTCTTTAACCCAAGTTACACATATAGTCTACATATGAAGTTTAGTGTACATTGACATACATTTATAAAAGGTGACACTTTAAATATATTTTAAAGTTGTAAGAAATATAAGTAACCTTGAAAGTGCTGTTGTCTGAAGTATTTCTAAACTCACATTCATTTCAGTTACGTGATCACTACATTTGAGCAACTGATGTTCACTTCACAGGCTTGAATTGCCCATTTTATGTATACTTCACTTGCACCGAATGGTCATTTGATGTGCTCTTCACATTTTTTTCTTCATTCTACACAGCCGAGTAACAAAGCAAAAGGAAAGGGTATAGCTGCCACACATAGATAAAACAGGAGACTGAGTGCTGGGGGCAATATGAATGAGAACAACACAGTACCGTGTATGGCAGTGGGGCAAACAAACTGGCAAACATCACTTGCACACACCATACGTTACAATACAGCTCCACATGATGTGTGCTAGTGTAATCTGACAGGGAAAAGACATGAAAACACCTCAAATTGTGTGAACATGAGGCTTCTTAAAAACTCCATAGAAAACATTAAAATTTATTAAATTAAAATAACAACTATGGGCATATTGTCAGGTTTGGCATGTACAGATGCCAAACAAAGGTCGTGGTGAACTCAATTAGAAAACCAGACGAACCGAGGTAGCGACAAGTTCTTTACTTGTTGTAAGCAAAACAACTAACACAAAGT